ACCTCAGCAGCTCAGCCTAATGGAGTAATATTTCACTCTCTTAATGAATTTTAATGGCAGAGATAAATACAACACTGGCAACAGTTTTGTTTATGGTTTAACAATTTCCATATTAATGTCATCCTAATGAGGCCTACCAAAGGATGTGTTTTAAACCACTTCCTGACAGCTAAAGGCACACAGTGCAGTGTTCCGCTTGATTGCTGCTAACACAGATACACGTGTGCCAGCGTGTCAACGCAAGCCACGCTTTATTTCACAGCGTTATCAGCCTGAGCCTCAGGTTTGACTTTGCATTTCTTTATCGGGTTGTGCCAGATCCTGCTTCCACTGGTTAGAGCTACCTGTTGCCAGGAAAGCTGTAAGTTCCTAATTTTTTGGCTTTATTGGCTGGAGGTATTGCTCATGTGCCTGTCCTGTATCCTCCATGGATGCACTGGCGATCCTCCCACTGAGGCTGAAGGCGCGGTTTCTGCAGGTCTGCATACAGGCTGCTGTGTGCGTGGCCTTATCCTGACATTTGAGGAGTGTAAATATCTCTTTCCAGTGCACAGGAATTCGACATCTGGGCAGGAGGCATAGAGTTCACCTTTTTGCTCCTACCGTCGGCTGGGAGGGAGCAAAAACCTGGACTGTCTGGGGGTTGGGAAACACTGGCACAGGCTGCCAGCTGACCTTGGCAGGAGAGAGTATTTACAGCCATGACTTCTAATCTCAGGAGATGCTAACTGCTTCACCTTAAAGACTTGTGATTCATTATGTACACGTCACCTTTTTGAATAAGGTCATTTTCCCCAGACTTTCTTAACATTCTTCTATATTACAGCCATTTATCTTGGAGAAGGAAGAGGAACAGGATGAGATGCGAGTCCATCACAGATCACAGGGTACAGACCACCACACATTGGCACAGACCAGATTCCAATCAGCTTAACTGGAAGGACGTGCAGACCCCACATACAGATTGGTGGTTGGATTTAAATTTTCAGCCCTTGAGATGTGACATAACAGTGCGGCACACACTGCAGAATTTCCATTAAATACCCTGGATTTCACTTTTGCACTGAGTTCTTGCTGTGTGCTCATTGGTCAGTCTCCTATAATCAGGCATGTGTCACTAATGCTAATGTGAAACAGCTGGATGAGTTTTTCAGTCAGGGAAATAAACCAGCAAAAGCACAAGAAGAACTGAACTAATTAGCTGAGCACAGGAGCCTTTCAGTTTTAAAGTAGTTTGTAAAACCTGAAGTAGCTCATAGTCTCAGCCCTGACGTAGAATAGGCGATCACCCTCCGTGCACATAGTCTCAGCCCTGACGTAGATTAGGCGATCACCCTCC